AAGTATGGTGAAAGAATACAACCTTGCCGCACAACTTTCTTAATTTTAAACCATTCATTGTTTCTATGTTCTGTTCGAACAACTGCTTCTTGGTCCATATACAGATTCCTCATGAGCACAATTAAGTGTTCTGGAATACTCATACTTCACAATATTATCCATAGCTTGTCATGATCCACACAGGTAAACATCTTTCTGATATTCTCTACTTTCAGCCACGATCCATCGGAAATCAGCAATGAGATCCCTTGTTCCACGGCCTCTTCTGAATCCAGCTTGAATCTCTGGAAGTTCTCTATGTATGCTTGCGGCCATTTCTGTATTACCTTTAATAAAACTTTACTCACATGGGATATCAAAGAGATTGTCTGATAATTTCCACATTCCGTTGGGTCAACTCTCTTTGGAATGGACACAAATACGGATGTCTTCCAATCAGTCGGCCGGATAGTTATCTTCCAAATTTCTTGGCAGAGATGAGTTAGTGCCTTCTGTGCCACCTCACCTTCTTGAAAGATTTCAATTTTTATTCCATAAATTCCTAGTGCCTTGTTCTTTGCCAGTTCCTTCCATGCACCTTGGACTTCCTCCTTCAGTATCATTGGCTCTTAGTCATATATGCTACCTCTTGAAATCGCAGAACATTAACCATTTCCTTTTGGTACAGTGACTCTGTGTATTCCCTCCATCTTCTTTTGATGCTTTCTGCATCATTCAATAATTTGCCCAGAGAATCTTTCAGTAACGAAAGTTGAGGCTTGAATTTTTTCTTCAGTTCCCCCAGCTTAAGAAATGCTGAGCGTGTTCTTCCTTTTTGGTTTTCTGATTCCAGATCTTTGCACATTTTATAGTAATATTTGGCTTTATCTTTAGCAGAGTTCACTGTAATTGTAAAAACTTGAAACTCTAGCATAGATATAAAATGAACCATCTCAGAAGCAGGAGTGGGGGAATCTCACTATCATCAAAGATAATGAGTAGAGTGTGTCCTATGGACCCCGAGATTCCCATGCATTGAACCTTCTCAACACAAAGAAAGAAAGCTGTGAAACAGGAGGAGTGGCAGAAGAGCAGCAGCTATAGAACCAAAAACAAGGACATAAGACAGAGCAGTTAACTTCCCAGCCCATGGAGCAAGTACAAGTGAGTGAGTTTGGGCTGAAAGCTTGCTTGTAGAGTGTGGTGCCTCCAGACACTTAAGTGGGAAGCATTATTTACTGACCCATGGAGCTAGAGCTGAGTGCCTTCAGGCTGAGGCATATGGTGGGGTTGGGTGTTCTGTGCCCATGTACCAGCAGCTGACTGAAACAACTGTACCCTGAGAATTTTTCATCCTTTATTGTTTTTAAATGCCTTCAAGACAGTTCTGCCTCATAACGACCCTGTCTAGGCTTTCCAAGGAGAGACTGCAGAGTTTGAACCTACTGACCTTGTAGTTCAAACTGACCTTGTAGCCTAGTGCATTATCCAACAGTGTCACATCAGGACTCCTATTAGTTTCCCAAATAAACTCCCTAACTGTGAGTATTCTCTCTGAGTTCTGTGTGGCCACTGCAATGGATTATTGCAAAGTGGAAGGGCTGGTTGGCGCCATTTTTTTTGCAGTAGCCTACAACCACTGCTCCCTTCTATGTTATTACTTTTTTATTTCTCTCATAGTTCCTCTTTCCCTCCACTCAATCCTCCTTCACCCTCTCTTTCCTCCCCCTCACCATTTAATTATGTACTAATTTGAAGTCCTAGTGTGGTGCCGTGGATTAATGTGCTGGACTGCAAAGTCAATGGTTCAAGCTCAACAGCTCCTCAGAAATCCTACTTAGGGTCGCTATGAGTCGGAACCAACTTGAGGGCACTTAACAAAAACAATAACAACTTTGTATTATTTATAATAAATACAAAATTTCTAGAATATTATTAAGAGCAGAGGCCACTATGAAGTGAACAAGTAGTTAATACAGAGATTGAAATATTAATTAGGCATATATGAGGGGATTTCAAAAAGTTCACTGAAAAATGGAATTAAAAGATCATGGTATTTTTCTAAGAATTTTTTGAAGCTCCCCATAATTTACTATAGAAATACTTATTATGAGGATGTGTTACTTTTATAATGAAACAAACAAAAAGAGGTGTTTGTGAATGTGGGGGCTAACTTGAACCAGTAAAGAAAAGCTAAGTGCAAGGTCTTTTCCACCCACCTCTCTCAAGATATACAAGGAGCAAGCGGCCCAGGACAAAGAAAAGAACATTCAAAGATGTTTCCAGAACAAATTTTCACAGAAACCTAGATAGTCGAAACCTTCTTTCCAAAAATAACTCAGTAGTATTTTAAACATCCCAACTTCACTAAACCATAGTTTAAAACCTAGAAATTGTTAATCCTCCCATAAAAACAATAATGTAAAAGAAAATATTTTCTACTCACCAACAAGGAGCCAAACAACATTGGAATTGTGTTCTGTCAGAAAATCTTCTAATTGAGTAATACTAGGGACAATACTGTCATTCTTCCTTTGTTCCATTACTGAAGCTTTTCAGAGCAGCATCTAAAGGCCTAAAGGAGTTCAGAGGTTAAAATTTAGAAATCAAGATTTATTAAACAACAAGAGAAACCATGTTGTTGTTGTTATTGTTTTTAAGTGTCGTCAAGTCAGTTCCAATTCACAGAGACCCTATATAGGGTTTCTGAGGAGCAACTGGTGAATTTGAGATGCCGATTTTGCGGTTCAAAAGAGGCTTGAGGTCAAGTGCTTATCCTAAGGCACCACACGGGACTCCAAGATAAATCGTGGAAGGGAAAAATAGGTACTAATCCGTTTTGGAAGGAGCTCTGGTAGCGTAGTGGTTACGAATCGGGCTGCGAACCGTAAGGTCAGCGGTTCAAAACTACCAGTCGCTCTGCGGGAGAAGGATGAGGCTTTCTACTCCCATAAGGATTTACACCCTCGGAAACCCTGTACAGGGTCGCTATGGGTCGGAACCGACTCAAAGACACTTAACAACAACAACAACAATCCATTTTGGAGGAAACACAGCCAGAATACTCCTCAGAAGTGAGAATGGTGAGACTGTCTTGTTTATTATGAACACATTTTCAGGATAAAGACCAATCAACAGAAAAGAACATGATGTTTGCTTCAGCACAGGGTCAAGGAAAACAAGAAAAATGCTCAATGAGAATAAATGACATGGTAGCTTTAGCAATGGAATCAAACATAATAAAGATAATGAGGATGGTGAAGGACTGGGCAATGTTTTATTCTGTTATATCTAAGGTTACCATGAGTCAGAACTGACATGATATACAAGTTATCAATCATCTCTATTAAATGAATTTATCTGGACTTGCCAGAGAGCTGCCACTCAATAAAACTGTGGTTGTCGAGTGCCAGCAAGTCTATTCCGACTTATAACACTCCTGTACAGGGTTTCTAATGAGCAGCTGGTGGGTTTGAACTGCCAATTGTGGTTTGCAGTTCAAGACATATCCTAAAGCTCCACGCTAGGAGTCCAAATAATATTAGATTTATAAATTAGATTGGATTAATCACTTATAATCTCTATAAGGCCTGTGCATTCTCCATTGAACTGCATTCCATGTAGAAACAATGTTCCTAGTACAAATTCATGCTGTGTATAGTTTGGATAGTAGGCAAATCTCCTGCTATCAAATTCTCAGGGTATATTACAATATATTTCAAATGTTAGGAAGTATGTGAAGAATATATGTATATGATTATTAGCAGGAGGAGTATAAATATTTAGATATACCTGTATGAGTTAAAAGCGAGGAATAAAAGTTATTATCTTATTTCAAAAAACAACACAATTATCCCTGTGATATTATAGTTATCAACATCGAAATTTAAAGACAGTATAGATATAAAACCAAACGGCCACCACTCGTCTGTCTGTCTGTCATGCTGTGGTGGTTTGAGTTGCTGTGATTCTGAGGGCTATGCCACCGGTGTTTTAAATAACCAGCAGGGTC